GGAGGTCGGGGGAGGGCTACGGGCTGCTCGGTTGGGAGTGGGGGAGCGGCGGCGGAGGGTAGCGGGCTGAAGGGGGGCTGAGGGAAGGGTCCCCCAGTGAGCGGGTCAGAGGGGAGGACCGCTGGCTTCCGGGGTGGCCGGTGGGGGGCGTTCTGGAGTCGGGGTGCAGAGGGTGGGGCTAATGGCTAAGCGTGGGGGGGGCCTGAGCAGAGGGCTTCCTGCTGGTCGGGTGGGGCCGGCTTTGGGGGCCAGAGGAGAGGACGACTGGCTGCGGGGGTGGGGAGGACCGGACGGGCGGGCCCCACCCCCGGGGCCGAGACGGGAGGGGAGGGCTAACGGCTGCTGCGTGTGGCGGGAGGAAGGCTGAGGCGGGGGTCGATGGGGAGGACTCCCGGGCGCGGCTGCGGTAGGCGTCAGGGGAGCTCCCGGCGGGGCGGGGCGTGGGGTGGGGGGGGAGGACGCTCGTGGCAGTTAGGGGGCTCCGGCTCCCGGGTGGGCGGGGGCAAGACGGGTGGGCTCTGCGCCTGGGGTACGAGAAGCGAGAGCCCCTGGCGCTGAGTGTGCTCGGGGGAGGACTCCCCGGTGTGGGGAGGTGAGAGAGGCAGTCTGACCTCTACGCATGGCGGGGCGCCCGGCTTCCAGGGCCCAGAGCGGAGCGCCACCAGCTGGTGGGTGGGGGAGGGTGTATGGAGGGGATGTAGTGCGAGGGGTCGGGGAGGAGCCGCCTGGCCACGGGGGGCGTAAGTGAAGCTGAGAGGGGGAGGCGCTGGGGCTGCTGTGATCTGGTGGAGGCTGTTGGCCATGGCAGATGGATTTGTGGGGGTCCAGGGAGGGGCTCTGGCCCACTGCATGAGGCATCGAGAGCTTCAGGTCGCCTCTGTCCGGGTGGCACAGGAATTGCAGAGGTGGGTGGGCAGGGCAAGGCCCTGGCCTCCACACACAGTACACAGATTCTTTACGAGGGTGCTTTGCACATTCACCCGGACACGCCATACCAGAGTTAAAAACAGTCTCCATAAATTTAGCAGTATTGCAAGTTTCCATGATAAGTTTTCTCATCACGGGGAAATTTTATTTGATGGTACTAATGATAATATATCTTCAAATATTGGGAAACCCATGGGTCAAAGAGAAAAATCACAGAGGGACTTAGAAAATATTTCCAAGTGAATACTAAAAAAGCACAACTTACCAAAATTAGTGGGAGGCAGCAAAAAGCGACAGGAGGAAACTGTATTCCTCTAAATGCTTCTGTTAGAAAAGAGTCAGGACATAAAATCAGTGAGCTAACAGTCCATTGAGAGATGCTAGAAGAAGAAGAGCAAGGAAACATAAAATGAAGTAATAAGAGAGCTAAGAGAGGAAATCAGTGATAGAAAGCAAATTATGGACACGGTGAACGAAGCCATGCGCTTCTTTCAAAAGAGCAAGGAAACCGAGCAAGTCCTAGAACGATGAATCACGGAAACATAGAAAGAACGCTGATCCCCAATATGAGGAATGAAAGAGGGCCAACGTTACGGATCAGATGTACATTAACAAAGAGGATATAGGGGAATATTATGGGACATTATGGAAATGTTTATGCTAACAAATTGGAAGACTTGAAAAATTCCTTGGGAAAAAGGCAGCTTCCTAAAACTGAGGCCAGAAATGTAGAAAAGGTGACGAGCCTTCTATCTGTCTTTTTTACAAAAATTATTTTATTTTACTTTATTATTGTTTCTTGAGTCGTACGCAACAAGTGCTCTTTTGTTATTATTTTTAAATTTTATTTTTACTTTTGGCTGCGTTGGGTCTTTGTTGCTGCGCGCGGGCTTTCTCTAGGTGCAGCGAGCGGGGGCTACTCTTCGTTGCGGTGCGCAGGCCTCTCATTACGGTGGCTTCTCTTGTTGCAGAGCACGGGCTCCAGGCATGTGGGCTTCAGAGGTTGTGTCACGTGGACTCAGTAGTTGTGGCTCGTGGGCTCTAGAGCGCTGGGGTCAGTGGTTGTGGCGCGTGGGGTTAGTTGCTCCGCGGCTTGTGGGATCTTCCCGGACCGGGGATCGAACCTGTGTCCCCTGCACTGGCAGGTGGATTCTTAACCACTGCGCCACCAGGGAAGTCCCTAGCCTTCTATCTTGTAAATAAATGTAATTTATAAAAAAAGTTTCCTAAAGTCAAACAAACCAAACAGGGCAGGGAGGTGCTCCAGGCTGCTGCTGTGAGGGGCACTAGGGTGGGCTGTGTGGCACAAACATGATTCTCTCCTCTTTGCACCCACAGGCCGATTCCCACACTTCAACAGCCTGTGCACACCTGTTTGATCGCTTCCCCCCACCCTCAGGTCCTCGAAGATGGCGATGGCTCTGGCGGTATTGCGGGACTGGTGCAGGTCGATGGGCGTGAACGCTCAGCGATCTCTGCTCATCCTGGGAATCCCAGATGACTGCAAAGACCAGGAATTCCAGGAGGCTGTGCAGGCTGCCCTGCGTTCCCTGGGCAGGTACCGAGTGCTGGGCAAGGTCTACAGAAAGGAGCTGGGGTCGAGTGTTGCCCTGGTCGAGTTTGCTGAGTGTTTAAATCGAAGCTTGCTCCCCCGCCAAATACCAGGCAAGGGAGGGCCCTGGACTGTGGTCTGCCTGCCCCAGGCCCCTGATGCTGATTCACAGGATAGACCCAATTGCCCTGCGCAGCCCCAGGGACAAGCAGTGGTTGGCAGGGCGGGTGAGGCAGGAACTGCAGGTCACTCAGGAACTGCAGGGGAGGAGGAAGCTGCAGGGGAGGCGGGAGTCGCAGGTATGGAGGGAGACACAGGTGAGGAGGAAGCCTTAGGTGAGGAGGGAGCTAATGGTGAGGAGGGAGCTGCAGGTGAGGAGGGAGCTGAAGGTGAGGCAGGAGCTTTAGGTGAGGAGGGAGCTGAAGGTGAGGAGGGAGCTGCAGGTGAGGAGGGAGCTGAAGGTGAGGTAGGAGCTGCAGGTGAGGAGGGAGCTGAAGGTGAGGAGGGAGCTGAAGGTGAGGGAGGTGCAGGTGAGGAGGGAGCTGCAGGTGAGGAGGGGGCTGAAGGTGAGGCAGGAGATGCAGGTGAGGAGGGAGCTGTAGGTGAGGCAGGAGATGCAGGTGAGGAAGGAGCTTCAGGTGAGGAGGGAGCCTCAGGTGAGGCAGGAGCTGCAGGTGGGGAAAGATCTGAGGGTCAAGCAGGAGCTGAAGGTGAAGCAGGAGTGTCAGATGAGGAAGGAGCTGCAGGTGACGACGGAACCTCAGGTGAGGCAGGACTTGCAGGTGAGGCAGGAGCTGCAGGTGAGGAAGGAGCTGCAGGTGAAGCAGGAGATGAAGGTGAAGCAGGAGCTGAGTCAGATGAGAAAGGAGCTGCAGGTGAGGAGGGAGATGAAGGTGAGGAGGGAGCTGCAGGTGAGGAGGGAGCTGCAGGTGAGGAGGGAGCTGCAGGTGAGGAAGGAGCTGCAGGTGCGGAAGGAGCTGAGGGTCAAGCAGGAGCTGAGGGTCAAGCAGGAGCTGAAGGTGAAGCAGGAGCTGAGTCAGATGAGGGAGGAGCTGCAGGTTACAGAAATGTTGCAGGCGTGGCAGGACTTCTGAGTATGGCAGGACCCACGGGCGAGGCAATGGCTGCGCCTGAGGAAGCAGTTGTGACAGCGGCAGGCGCCATGGGTGAGGCAGGGCCCGGGACCCAGCAGTGGAGGCAGGCCTCGCAGCCCGTGCTGGACAGCATGGGCTACCAGGAGCTGGGAACCTTCTCTGGGATGGAAGAGCCGGGCCACGGGGAAGGGTCCTCTGAGAGCTGGCTGGAGCAGGCCAGCCACACGCTGCACCTGTGGCGCCACGTGTCTGAGAGGGAGAGGAGGAGGAGGCTGGTGGAGAGCTTGCGCGGCCCCGCGCTGGACCTCCTGCGCGGCCTCCTGGCGGAAGATCCCGAGCTGGCTGCCCAGGACTGCCTGGCCGCGCTGGTGCAGGTGTTTGGGAACAAGGACCCCCGGGGGAGTGCTCGGCTGAAGTTCGTGACCTGTGCCCAGCGGCCCCAGGAGACTCTCTCTGCGTACGTGATGCGCCTGGAAGGCCTGCTGCAGTCGGCCCTGGAGAAGGGGGCCATCCACCCGGCCATGGCGGACCAGGCGCGCGCCCGGCAGGTGCTGACGCGGGCCCGGCTGAACGACACGCTCCGGGACACGCTGAGGAGGAGGCGGCTGATGAGGAGGCCTCCCGGCTTTGCGGGGATGCTGCGGCTCATCCAGAAGACCGAGGCCTGGGACGCCGACCCGGCTAGCAGGGAGCACTTCCCAGGGCAGGAAGAGGCCCGTGTGGACGTTGCAGTCCTGGCAGCAGCCGCCCAGGCCGCCCCGGCCCATGAGGCCATCACCGCAGGCACCACTGCACATGGCACCAAGGCCTCCCCGGCCGGTGAAGATAGCACCGCCCAGGCCGCCCGTTCCAAGGAAGGGAGCGCCGAGGACCACCCGGCACGTGAGGAGGCCAGTGCGGCAGTTGCCGGCACTGCCAAGGCTGGCGAGGCGGCCCCTGAAGACCATGGTGCCGCCAGGGCAGCCCCTGGCCCTGGGGAGACCAGCAAGGCGTCCACGGCCACTCAGGAAGATGGAAGTGCTGCCGCCCCTGCGGGCCTAGGTCAGGCAGGACCCTCAGATGCCCCTGGGGTCCCC